TTCCTAGTAGTAAGGCCAGGAGCCCCTAGTAGCGAACATTGCTCCTAATGCGCGTTGGATTAAGAGATTCTTCTGGTACATCCCGCTCCTCCCACGGCCACGAACTGTTCGGATCCGTTGGCAGAGGGCAGATCCGGCACGCCCTTGAAACCGTTCGCCGAGTTCGTGTTGTCGACCGAAGGTCAATGAAACAGATGTCGCCGACCAATCGACCTGTGGTTCAGTACCCGGCCTCACCCACGCGGCAGGCGTGTGGAGAGGGGGGTAGTTGAGAGGTGAAGGCTGAAGTAGAAAGATCTTGTAAGTCTGATATATACTCCTCGAAGGTGTATGTGAACTGTGGACCCTTTTGGTTTTTTGTGAGATTGACCGCAGAATTCAGCAGTTTCAGAGAAATCATGACTCGTCGCCATGTGCCACACACATCCACGCTCTGATACGATCCAATCAAAGCCAAGCGTCCGATGAGAAGAGACAAGATCCACCTGGGCTGCACGCGCTGCACGATCAGGTGATCGCCGTGCCGTCGGTGAGCTCCCCCGTGCCGCTGAGCGCCGGGTCCTTCGTGAGCCCCGTGAGCATGGTGCCGCCGGTGACGACGCCGATGCCAATGACCTACAGCCAGGTGTCACAGGCGAGATCTGAGAGGGAAGAGGGAGATGAGAGGACTCAGTTGGGAATATTGGAATGGAAGCAGTTGTGGTTGCAGCTCAGGGGGGGGGGTTTGGCCAACATGTTTTTGTATAAAGATGGTTCCATTCCTCATCGCATCAAAACCGTTGTTGAAAATGATGTCTATATAGATGGATGGGACGGCCCCAGCATGTCCAAGATGGCTGAAGGATGCTTCAGGTACTTTGGGTCCGGCAGTCTAGAAGACAAAGGAGAGCCATGGATGTCACGGGGTGCCCAAGGAGGAGCCCCTGGTCTGACCTGAGAGGTGGTCTATTTGCGATGTTTTTGCCTCAGAGTCTTTTTGACAGATGCATGGAGTGGTGAGTAGGTGATTCACCAATGCCAGATTCTATACACCTACGAAAGAAGCAGATCTCGATTGGGCAGCGTAGTGGCGTAGTCTGCTTCGTTTCCACCAAACAGAGAGAGAAATGTTACGGTGGAACAAACCTTCGCAGAGCAAGTCAAAAATCAATTGGCCCGAAGAAGTGCAAAGCAGTGCAAATTCCTTGGAACCAGGGGAAACCGCCAGAAATGGTCTCCATCCCAGAACTTCCCTTCCATCTCCTTCCGTGCAGGTGGCTCCAGTCCTCACGATTCCCTTCCAGTTTGGGAAGGCGACCGCTCCGGTGGGATCGGCCCAACGAGCTCGCGGATCGGCACCGCCGAACGAGTCGGGCGAAGCGGGCGAAGCGGTGATCCTGGGAGTGACGTATTTGGGGTATGACCATGGATGAGAGAAAATCTTTGGAGTGATTCTTTCTAATGGTTTCTTGTTACTACTAGCGTGGCACTTGTTACTACTAGCGTGGCACTT